CTACAACAGCCGAGGGCAGGCGTGACCCTGTGTGCATGACTGGGACGTGCTGTCTGACATGTGGGGGTCTCCTCCAGGAAGCTCAGATGAGTGTGTTCTCTGCACCACAAGGAATCTTCACACACACACACAAGGCCTGATCCCTTCCAGCCGGGGGCAGGGCTCCCCCACCCACACACACACACACACACAGGGCCTGATCCCTTCCAGCCAGGGGCAGGGATACACACACACACACACACACACACAGGGCCTGATCCCTTCCAGCCGGGGGCAGGGATACCCACACACACACACACAGCCCTGATATGGCTGCTCAGAGGACCCCTTTAGCTTAAGAGAGAGAAGGTTAAGGTGGGGGCTTGATCCCAGTCTATAAATACCAACATGGGGAACAAATATTTCATCCTGGACGCTTCAGCCTAGCAGAGGAAGGTGTAACAAAACCCAATGGCTGCAAGTTGAAGCCAGACACACTCAGACTGGAGATAAGGTGTCAGGTTTTAACAGGGAGGGCGATTAACCCTGGGAACAATTTACCAAGGGTCATGGCAGATTCTCCATCAGGGACAATTTGTAAATCCAGACGGGACGGCCATCGAAGAGACCTGCCATGCTTTGAGCAGCAATTCATTCAGGGACCTTCTCTGGCCTGTGCTGTCCAGGAAGTCAGTTGAGATGGTCACACTGTCCATGACCCCAGCTCCTCCCAGGGGCTGCCGAGATCCTGGAGTTTGGGGAGATGCTCCTTCCAGCCCCCAAACACCTACGGCCTCCCAGCTCCCTCTCTGAGTCTTCCAATACGTACTGTGCGCTCCAACGTCACCCCAACCGGTGACCGAACACATCTTCCCCACGGGGAACTGACGGGAGGCCCCAGGCAGTGAGATGGGCCAGATGAACTTCGTGGTTGCCACCGGCTCCTTCAGCCTCACCAAGGCGATGTCAGCAACGGAGCTCTTGCTATTGTAACTGGGGTGGGGGATGATCTTCTGCACCTCGGCCAGGACCTGATTCGGGGAGCGGTTGAGGAGCTGGTGCGCCCCCAGCACCAGACGGTACTGGGAATAGGGCACAGAGCTGGAGGAGAGAAAAGGAAAAGGGGAAGATAGTGAAATGCTGAGATGCAGCCACCTCTGGGGAGGGGCAGCTGGGGAACAGCTGCACAGCAGGAGGCCAGGGGAGAGTCATCACCCCCTGCCTGGGTTACTCACAGATCGAAGCAGTGAGCAGCTGACACCACCCACTGGGCTGAGACCAGGGATCCTCCACAGACGTGGCTGCCATTTACTTGCACGCTGACAGGCCAGGGCCATTGACTCTCCTGGGCATCCTGCCCTCCCAGGATACGGCTGGACCCTGCACAAACCAGGGAGCCATGTTAACATGTGACAACACGCACAGCTCCTACCCAGAACTAGGGAGAGAACCCAGGAGTCCTGGCTTCCAGCCCACCTGCTCTAACCCAACAGCCCCCACTCCCCTCCCAGAGCCAGGGAGAGAACCTAGGAGTCCTGGCTTCCAGCCCACCTGCTCTAACCCAACAGCCCCCACTCTCCTCCCAGAGCCAGGGAGAGAACCCTGGAGTTCTGACTCGGAGCCCCATGCTCAAACCACTAGACCCCACTCCCCTCCCAGGGCCAGGGATAAAACCCAAGAATCCCCTGTTCCCATCCCATCTCCAATTCCCTCATGCTCCCTGTTAGGTCACAAGGTAGCCGGCTTTTCTGATGAAGCCGCTCGCTGTGAGGGGGGTTTATGGGGCTTGTCGAGAGCTTGTTTCTTACCTGGGGGACCCGGGTTCTGCTCCGCACCTGGCCAGGGAAGAGAGAGGCAGGGGAACCACTAGATAAGGCAGGAGCTAGCCGGGGTCAGGTTGGGGGGAGGGTATTACCCCACAGACTCTTGTCCCAGTTCTGGGGAGTGGGGAATGGGAGTTGTGATGCTGCTAATGAGAGGGCAGGTGGAGTCTGATGCCCCCTTCTCTGCTCCCCCAGTGGAGATGGAGATGTCCCATCCAGGCCCATCTGATGTGTCCCCACCGGAGGCAGGATCATCCCACACAAGCCCCTCAGAGGTGCCCTGTTCAGTTTTCTCTGCTTCCATCTCTTACCCTTCATCTGCCTTCACTGCAGCTCACGGGGGGTCACTGTTGTCTCTCCCACCCCTGCCCTCTCCCTGGGGGGCTCTGCTCTCTGACTCCGATCCCCCCCGGCCCTGTGTGTCACCAAGGAAGGAAGGAAGCAGAGGGCACGGTGTTCCCCTGCCTCACCCTCCAGCAGGGGTAGCGCCAGCAGCAACACGGCCAGTGGGGAACCCAGACACCCCCGCATGGTGTGGTCCAAGGAGCAGCCTCCCAGATGCTATCGGCAGAGGGCGACTGGACTCGGTGCAGCTCCCCGCCCAGCAATGCCCAAGGACTGCCGGGGAATGAAGGTACCAGGCTGGCATTTATAGGCAGCCCCACGCAGGCTGGGCTATGGAAGGCCAGAAATGTAAATGTTGCTGCTCCTCACACA